CAGGTAGTTACCGGTGACCGACGCAGGCTCCGACTCCGCCTTAGTCGCGGGCTCTGACTCCGGTTCGGTGGAGAGCGCAGAGTTATGATCGGAGTCGGAGGAATCATCGGCAGTTTGAATTTGGCGCGATTTGATTAGATGTTGAGGAATCCAAGCAACGGAGTAGAATGGAACGCCGTATTTCTTCAAGTTGGGAGGGTCTGGGATTTGTCTTTTCCCCATTCTCTCTCTCTCTCTCAACTTTTTTTGTTTTGGCGTGAATTTGATTCAGCTGCGTGGATTTGTCAAAGCGTTTTCTGCTATCCTCGATAACACGGTAAGACCTTTTTCAATCTTTCAAACGCCCATCAATAATCAAAGCAAACAATAATCAACTCCCTTTTGCTAAAAAAAAAAAAAAAAAGGAAAAAAATTAAAAAAAAAAAAAAAAAAAAAGAAAAAAAAAAAAAAAAAAAAAAAAAAAATTTTTTTGTATGGAAAAAATAGCATAAATAAAGATAATTTAATTGAAAAGATTAAAAATATTTAAATTATCTTATCTCCTCTGTGTAGATGTTAGGTAATGGACCTGTTTCATGTCGATGATTCATGATTTATTGTCTATATGTCCATGATTAATATTAAACATGATTTATTGGTTGGCTTTCAAAATATTAGTCAATCCAAAAGCAGTTTTTAACACAAATCAACCAAATAATTGTGTTAAGACATAATTAGAATGTAATTAGATTCGTGATAAGTAAAAGTCCATTACAAATAGTATAAATAAGAGGTCTAGGTAAGATAGTTGGATTACATTTATTATTACAGTCAATACCCTTGCACACGGTCACATACGGACTTAACCGTCAAAGTGTCTTCTACAAGTACCACCCGAGCCGTTTAAGACGAATAGAATATACTTAAGAACAGATAAGTAGAAGACAAGAGTAACTAGAAGACCAAGCATTCAAGTAGTTAAGAGTGTCCAACTGGTCCTATAGAAACATTTTGGCATCCACCGTGGGGCGAGTGTGAATTTCTTTAATTCTCATGGTGACCACGAGACACATGACGAGCAACATAATAGTAGAAGAGGCATCAAAGGAGCAACAAATGGACCCTACAGTAATGATGAAAGAAATGAAGAGAGGAATGGATGAAATGAAAAGGAAGTATGAGGAGGAATTGAAAACCTTGTGTCAAGAATGCACTTATAAGGAATACGGAGTGAGAGAGCTTATACTTCCTACCCTAATTCAACCCGAGCTAAACAAACAACCACAATTAATCAGACCAGACAATTCAAAGAAGCAACATCGGTGGAAGTAATCATCATGACCTATCTGTCACGGTCACGGTGAACATATTGAGAATGCACTCATTTAATACTAATATCATGGGAGACTATCTTACCTAACAATTGAAAAATGTTAGTGTTTAAGAAGTATGATGGATCTACCAACTTGGATGAGCATGTTAATATGTTTGTCACCCAAATGACACTGTACACAACAAATGATGGCATATGGTGTAAACTTTTTTTCACTTCTCTAAAAGGTGTAGTGTTAGGATGGTTTATGCGCCTCTCAAAAATGTCTCCAAAATTGAAAATAAAAACTATAAAGACAAAACGCAAGAATGTAGTAAAAGAAAAAAAAAAGTAAAGTAACTTATTGGAAATGAAATTATTGAAACAATAAATAAATAAAAAAAATATAAGGTGACAAAGTATAAAGATAATTATATCAGTAAATCATATTTAAATTGACTGTGCGATTTTATTTCATGGATTGCGTCTAATGAATTATGTCTAAAATTTATAAAATCAATTGAACGAACATATATAGTTATGAATGCTTAAAACCTTTGGTGAACAATTTACTAAGTATATTGTTATAGTGTATGAAATTTCTTTCTCCAGTTGAAATGAACTGGCCTTCAAAAGTATTTATGAAAGTATGAACGAATGAAATTAATACATGAGTGTTTCAAAAGAATTTTCAATAACAAGTTAATAATGAAATTACAAATTGTATTAAAAGGCTTATAACTTCAAGTATGATGAGGGATACAGTCTTGAGGACAATAAACTAAAGTATACTATACAAATATATTAATAAAGAAATTCATTTTATACGACTCAATGAAATGATGATGAAAAGATGATGGGTGAAAAAGTTGTAGTCAAGTGATTATTATAAAAGATGTTACTTGGTTTCATATGACAATTAAATTTGCTTTCACATATATTGTTTGAATTCATTTTGATTTTGATGAAAAATATATTAGGTATGAATACTTGTTTGTTTAAATTAAGTATGAAAACGAAAATGAGACGTAGGTGAGTATATACATATTTCTCACCTCCATACATTTTCTTATAATTGTTCATGTCCACATTCTAGTTTTTAATTAATAAAATACTCAATTTATTAGATAATCTAAAAACTTGTTTTCATTATTCTTTTTTATACTTAGTTTTCTTTCATTGAAGAAACTCTTATTTCTTTCTTTTTTTTTCACATAATTATTCATTCTCTTTCTCAACTAACTATGTAGGCTTCCAAGTGGAGCACAAACTGAGATCAGACTACCTATTTTTTCAATGAAAACATGGTGGCATTTCTACTACTTATTTGTGAAGGTTCAAATTATGATATATATTAGTTCTTTCCACAACTCCACTATGAACTTTCTATTCACTGTTCAACATAGTTGCATATATACATCAATGCAAACCTTGGAAAGCTGCTACAGTTTGCGACTTAAGTAACATATGTAGCAAATTCTTGACAAACGTGGTTATCAAAGATACATAACAAACATAACCTTAATACTATCAAAAGACAAAAACAATAACAATGCTTCCTTTTCAAGAAAAAACTATATTTTTAATCTTTTGGCATGTCATGCACATGTAGCTTTGTGTATCTGTATGTTCTCACAATTCTTATTCACGTGCACCAGAAAAGGATACACATAATGTAACTCAAGTTATTGGTAAAAAATCAAAATTTCCAAATATTTTTTTATTCATTGAAAATTCTCAAATAATTACACACATTGAGTAATTTAATTTCTTAATAAAAATTATTACTGTCCTGGTCTAAGTATCTCAGAGGATAAAAAAAAGAAAGTATATTTAAATTGTAAGACTATTGGATGTATTCAGACTTCAAAACAAATAATACCTTGATGTAGAAATTGATACTAAATATGTTATCTCAAGTTACTTGAGATCGAAATAATTACAAATATATTTTATTTTTCAACATATTAAATGAGTTTATTATTTATTTAATATTTATTTAAGAAAGAAGAAATATTTACAGCTACATCAGTGTAAGATATTCCGATCTTTGACTTCAGATATATTTCATTAATTGTATTTATTAAATTATAATAGAATGTAGCAATTTCACAGAAGTAGAACAACTGACAGAGACGGTTTCAGTTGAGTTCATGTACATGATTGCATTCAATTTTAGTTTTTATAAGTCGCTCCTTTATTCTCATCCAGAACACACTCTTATTTATGTATGCAAATGATTATATACCTTTCTATTGCTTTTTTTGGAACCAGCTGTTAGAACATATATCTTAAACTCAATTAAAGCTTGTGTGCAGTTCAATTTAGCTTTCCTAAACAATTTTATTTCAGAAGCGAATGTTATTTACATTGATTGAGTAGCATTGTGGATTACGTAGTACACTCTTTTGGGGTTTTATCTTTATATAAATAAGATATTCTCAAGAGATTTTGTTGAGTCAGAACATGGAAATCAACTTGAATGTCTAAATCAGCTTGTGTGTTGCTACATTTCTAATGTCTAAGTTCACAGCCAATAACTTGTTACCACACTTCAATTCACTGTCAAGGGCTGCTTGAGTTTGAAGAGAATCTAGGAAACAACAGGGTTTCAATTTCATGAGATAATAAATAGTTGAACCAACTTTTCTAAATAGTTGCATTAGTTAGTCCATACCAACTCTATTCACTGTGCCACAACGCTGCTGCTGCTTCTTTTTTTAAACTTTTTTTCTGCTATCTTAAGTTCAAATCAGTAGTACTCAGTCACAATGGTATATTCCACCTTGCGTCTTCCACGGTTGGTGTTTGNAAAAAAAAAGAAAGTATATTTAAATTGTAAGACTATTGGATGTATTCAGACTTCAAAACAAATAATACCTTGATGTAGAAATTGATACTAAATATGTTATCTCAAGTTACTTGAGATCGAAATAATTACAAATATATTTTATTTTTCAACATATTAAATGAGTTTATTATTTATTTAATATTTATTTAAGAAAGAAGAAATATTTACAGCTACATCAGTGTAAGATATTCCGATCTTTGACTTCAGATATATTTCATTAATTGTATTTATTAAATTATAATAGAATGTAGCAATTTCACAGAAGTAGAACAACTGACAGAGACGGTTTCAGTTGAGTTCATGTACATGATTGCATTCAATTTTAGTTTTTATAAGTCGCTCCTTTATTCTCATCCAGAACACACTCTTATTTATGTATGCAAATGATTATATACCTTTCTATTGCTTTTTTTGGAACCAGCTGTTAGAACATATATCTTAAACTCAATTAAAGCTTGTGTGCAGTTCAATTTAGCTTTCCTAAACAATTTTATTTCAGAAGCGAATGTTATTTACATTGATTGAGTAGCATTGTGGATTACGTAGTACACTCTTTTGGGGTTTTATCTTTATATAAATAAGATATTCTCAAGAGATTTTGTTGAGTCAGAACATGGAAATCAACTTGAATGTCTAAATCAGCTTGTGTGTTGCTACATTTCTAATGTCTAAGTTCACAGCCAATAACTTGTTACCACACTTCAATTCACTGTCAAGGGCTGCTTGAGTTTGAAGAGAATCTAGGAAACAACAGGGTTTCAATTTCATGAGATAATAAATAGTTGAACCAACTTTTCTAAATAGTTGCATTAGTTAGTCCATACCAACTCTATTCACTGTGCCACAACGCTGCTGCTGCTTCTTTTTTTAAACTTTTTTTCTGCTATCTTAAGTTCAAATCAGTAGTACTCAGTCACAATGGTATATTCCACCTTGCGTCTTCCACGGTTGGTGTTTGTCTCTTCATTGTTGATGAAAGTGAAGCTACAGCCTCTCCAACTGTTAAGAAAAGGTATTCTGCTCGAATGAAGTCATTAGCATCATCTGATTTTTGCAGCTTATCAATCACCTCAGCCAGAGGATTCACCAACACAATCTGTCACAATTCATTACTCACAGTTGAGGTTAAATTCCTATCTATGAACTTGTGTAATGATTAAGTTTGCCAGAGTTTAGCGTACTTACCGAAACACCCTTCATTGTCAATGCGTTTTTCAAGTCCTTGAAAAGTGAGACTCCACTTGTGTCTATGGTACTCACAGCTGAAAATCCCAAAGATCATATCATTGATGCATATAATTTATTAGTTATGTATATCCCATTTTGCATACAAAGAATTGTAATTAACTCACTTAGTTACCTGACATGTCAAGAATGAGAAATTGAAGGCAGACGTTTTCTTTGATCGAAGCTTGTTCTTCTTCTACCCACCGATATATTCTAAGAATAAGTGCAAATGGTTAAATAACAGTGAGAACAATGACCAATGCAGCTGAGAAGTTTCACAAAGTCTATAAATCTGTAGATATGAAATCAACCTCTCGTTGAGATATGTGATGTTTGCAAAGTTGATGGGAGCCTTTATTCTTAAAATAAGAAAACCAGGTACTCTTATGGCTTCCTTATAATGATGAAGATCTCTATATATGTTTGTCGCAGGTATGTTCCCCAACATTACTATTTTAGGCCTTGTAATTTGCAGGAGTATCCTTAAAACTGATAATGCGACCTGATCAACAAGATCGTATTTCTGTTGTCAATCACATGATTAATATAAGAGCTGCTAGAATGTTAAATCAAGACATAAGATCTCGTCAATTTATATCCCAACTTGCAAAAAGGGTACCGAAAGTTTCCACAGATCGATACTGATGATCTGGATTTTATCCTTGACAGTCAAATGTCTAAAAATGCATGAACTGTAATAGAAATTGCAGACACAATGAGCTTTACTGAAACAGCTAGGCCGATTTGGACAGAGATAAAAATGACACCAAAGAAGGCTGCCAACATCACAACGAAATCGAATTTGTCTACCTTCCAAATGAGATAAGCAGAAGGAATATCAATGAGGCCAATTACAGCTGATATTATGATTGCACCCAATATAACATTTGGCGTGTATTGGAACAAAGGCATCAGAAACAACAGTGTCACTAAGACTGTCACAGACATTACTACGTTGGACATTGCTGTTCTAGCACCTGCGTTGTGATTGATAGCTGAGCGAGAGAAAGATCCTGAAGTTCATAGTTTAAAGTGTTAATAATCTTGATTTGACACCTTCATACATGGGGCTTTACTAATTTACAGCTTGCTTTTAGGCTACGAACTCCAACCTGTTGTAACATAGCAGGATGTTGTGGAGCCAACCACATTCATGAATCCTATTGCCATCATTTCCTTATTTCCATCGACTTTGTAGTTTCTCATGGTAGCAAATGTTCTTCCCACTGCAATTCCTTCCTGTTTCAAAATAAATCCAATCCATATTACTGATGTGAGATATCGAAGAAAAAGGTATTTGTTAGAAGAATGAAACTTACTGTGAGGGATAAAATGCCAGTAATAAGGCCAGTTTTGATGGCCAGAGGCAGATGATCTCCTCGAAAGAGTAGCTTATCTGCTGAAGGAGGATTTACTACCTCTTTGCAATTTCGCAATCTAGCAATCACAGCAAGCATTTAACGAACATTGGTTTGAGTGTGGTACGATGTAGTCTACAATTCATTGATAGTGAGTACAGAAGCAATACCACCTGATGCCATGAACGTTGAGGCCTTTATTGCAAAAGACAGGGCAGTAGAAATTATGACAGACACAAGAGGAGCACCAGCTGAGACCCAGAATAACTCTGGTTTCTTTATGCTCTGCACAAGTTTATTTTTGGTACAAGTCAGTAGAAATAAAAATATAGAAAACTTTAATGATATCAATACATCTAAAAGTAACTCTGGTTTCTTTACAAATATAGAAATAAAAATTAACTTTTTTTTTAATGATATCAATACATCTAAAAGTAAGTTGAAAGTCGTACATATAAAAAAAAAACATTTTTCTTACACTTATATTTTTTAATTTGTAATAACTTCGTTCAGAAAATAAAGACATACCGAAAAAAAGAATACAAAAGAATGCTTAACTTTAATGTGTTTTTCATGTGAATCTTGCACACTAATAAATAGTTTTAGTCATCTTATTTAATAATTTATTATTCAATATTAAAGCATTAAATAAAATCAAAACAATATAATTGATGCTTTGTGAATTACTGATAAATTAAAGTGGTATGATTTTTTATTAAATAGTTACAAACAGTGTAAGATAAAAACATATAGTAAAAGATGAGAAATAAAAACATACCACGTGTCTTGCACCCAGCAGAAACACCAAGAAGCAAATCGCCATCACTATTGTTTGCCACGACCACTGCAAAAATAGCACAAACATTTTCCTTTAGAATAATAGTAGATTGAGCAGTGAGACGAAGAGAGCAAAAAATTTAGGATGAACCTCGTCGATGTTATTAAACACGGAACTCATAACAGGAACCAGGGCCATCTTGCTGGTGAAATGTTTGATTCCGAGAAGACCCTTCAGCTGTTGCAGACCTACAATTACAGCTGATCCACCCATGAACCCAATAAGGATTGCCTTCGATAGAAAATCAATGATAAATCCAAGCCTACAATCATTTTTGGTCTCAGTTTTTAATACAAAGCTTTGAATTTCAATGGAGATAAAGGTGAAAATGAAAGAGTGAAGAAGGAAATGATGACCTTAGAATTCCAAGGGCTGATTGAAAAATCCAGGCAAGACTGTTGAAGTCAAGGCTAATGAATAAGAGGTCGTTTCTGCATTGGGAGAAACTTCTCATTCATCATGGATTCCTATCAACGAGGGAGGCAATTGAAACGGGTCCTACTGCAAGATCATTGAGCTTCCAAGAACAACATACACAATGAGGAACAAAACTAGAATCTTGAAAAAATATTCAACCAGAGTAGTTCAAAGAACAGCACTATTCAATCAAGCTGCTGGATTTGCGAACTAAAATACACATAACTGCGGCAAAAATCACACACTCACACAGAGTCCAAAATGGATGAAGATTTGCAAGGCTTCGCGTAGCTGATTTCCCTGGATGACAACAATATTAAGAACAAAACCAAGACAAAAAACCAACATCAAAGATATGTGTGTAACTATGTAAGTAAACTTCAAAGTCTACCTCCTGTAGCGAAAAAATTTACACTCATTTATATTTTTAAATCATTAAACAAACAAACTGAACTTGATGAAGGTCCTCATGTGGTCAACAATTTTAAAAGAAATCTAAAATTTTGAACTCTTGCTAACCTGAGGGATGGCCAGACTTGCAATTGTGAGGCCAGAAATAAGGTCAGATTTGAAGAGTTTGAGGTTGTAAGTAGGAACCCATTGAAGCAAAGGGAATAAATATTGAGCACCAAGGATTAGTTTTCTCTGAAGAGGTTCTCCCTTAAATTGGCGAAGAGGGTCATCAGGGAACAGAATTTCCTTGACCTTGGCGAAGAACTTCTAAAGCTGCTCTGTATGGTGGTGGAACACTTTGTGTCCTTTGATGAAACCCGAGGTTTCCTTCCTCTAATGTTACGTCAAACGAAATCCGTCGCAATGGTGCTCTTGCTACGTCCATGGATCCAAACTAAACTGCTGAAAATTATGTGATGCGGCGCATACCTTTCCTTTTCATGTCAGTCGCAATGCTTTCTGATTCTCCTTAGTTTCTTCCATTAATTTGCAACCCTAAACAAATCGCTACAACAGACAGAGGTTATCTGCTATAAATACATTCGCGGCCCCTTGTAACATTAGATAACACATCCACTTATAGTGTAAAACGGCTGAATTTTCTTGTAGAACTTTCTAATGTAGAGATAAACTCAATAATACTTTCTGTGTTAACGTGGGCTTATAGCTTTATACGAAATGTGATATCATATAATACGTGACAAACTGGATAAGCATTAAGTTTTTAGCTTACCAATGTGATATCATACGGTGACAAACTGGATAAGCATTAAGTGATTAAAATTTGCATTAATGATCATTAAGCGATAAATGAATTAGTCACATTATAGGTTTAATTTGGAGGTAAATTCACTTTTTACTCACTATTGAATTACTAAAGGCTTATAGAAAAAAATTCTGACTTGAACGTAAGAATGTATTCAGCATGTCACCTCTTACACCGATCGGTTACCAGAGTAAGGAGGGGAGAGACGTTCAACACCAAAAACTTTCAAAGACACAGTTATTCTCGTCTCATTTCAACACTAATATTTTGACGTTTTCCTTATAATTTTCTAACTCAATATTAAAGAATAAATTTATTTATTTTAACAAACCTAGAACTCATTATCGAAAAACCACTACTATAACCCCCTTATTATATATAATATATATATATATATATATTAATATATATATATAGATATATATATATATATACACGACAGATACATGTAGTTTTATTGCATGTTTTGATTTTTGGTATAAACATTCATTGGGTGCTTAATTTTTTTCAGGGTAGTTAGCTCACAGAGAAGCCTTTTGGCTGATTTCTTCTTTTCACAATAAAACTGAGTTGGCTATTTTCTAATAATTTTTCGCAGCTATTCAAATTTTTTATGTTTACGTTAATTTTTTTTATGAGCTATTGGATATTGAAACTTCCCTAATCGATTTTTGCTTTATTTTATGATAAACAAAATTATCTGAAAACAAATAATTTCTCAAAAACTTATTTCCAAAAAATTTTAAAATCAAATATTTTATTTTTCAAGAACTTATTCCCGCAAAAATTTCAACAAGTATTTACTTTTTGAAGCACCAATATAATATTTTATGATACTTTGATATTTGTTAAGATTATTTAATTTGGCTTCTTTTGAATTGGAACATGAGAGACTTTTTCACTCTTCCACGCACACACTTTTTAATGTAGCCATCAAATTCTTTTTCATGATCTATTTGTTTTGGTAGATTGTTTCAATTTCAAGTCCCTCCTAAATTTAAGATTTTACAACTTAAAGTTTTATATTATAATTTTGTATCTAAAAACAATATGAAAAGTTATTAGAGAAAAGAGTATTTAATTTTTTTTTACTTCGACTTCTAATTTATGTGAGACTATTGAACATTTCAGAATAAGTCCACAAATCAAGGTCTAAGAGGAACAAAAGTTTTTCTTTGGAACAACATTTCCATTTCCCTCAATTAAAGGGTTAAAAGAACAAGAACACATCTTTAGAACACCTATTATGATCTTGTTTTTTTTACCTATTTTGGTGTGTTCGTTTTAGTGAATAAAAATCAATTCTTCCTTGCTTTTAGCTTGTTTAATTCTCAAGTTTAGTATGTTTTTGCATTGTTTTGGATTTTAGTTGTTTTGTGTTTGTTTTACTTGTAATCTCCTTTTGAGTGTTTGAAATAATGAATATTAAGAAATTAATGGTGGAGGATAACAACCTAGACCTAGGAACTGATTAGAATAACAGATGAATTTTGAAGAAAATACCTATGTTAAGCTTCATTTAGAATTGCCACCATGCTTACTAGTTAGAGATAAACCCAATTTAGGGCTATTTGGAATTGGGCGCCATCAACACCTAGAGAGCCACCCCTGGCGGTAAAAACTAATGTTGAGCGGTGGCTTGAAAGTGCTGAAATGGCACCGGGTAGAAAAGACACTGAGCTGTCAAAAATGTGTATTTAATCATGTTCTCCACGAGGGTTTGTGGGGTGTCCTACTTTTTGCACAAGAAGAAACATATTGGGTGCTTAAGATCGGCTCTTAGAGGCTGCTAGGGGTGTTGGGAGCTCTCCCTCTCCTTCTTGAATATCCTCCTTCATCCATGGAGGTTTTTTCTTCTTTTGGGTTGAAGAGGAAGAGGGGTTATGAAATTGGAGATGGAGATGCGAAAGGAAGGCACCATTATAGTATTGAAGAATTGCTAAACTATGGAGAGTGATATCTTATTCTCTATGGTTTTAATTTCTTCCCTATCTCTTCTATTTTGTAAACCCGAAGTCTCGACCATGGAGAACTAAACTATTGTTGAGATTATATGTAATAAATTGAATTCTTATGTATTTGTGTTGTTAATGTCTATGTTTTCCTTTCTATATTATTATTTTATTTTATTCCTTAATAGCTTGTTGTGGCTTTAATCGCTCATAACTTGATTGTTAGCTTTTAGGTGTTAAAAAATGTCTTTTTGGAAACCTAGAATTGAAATTAAATACCTAATGAAGTTGTATCTAGGGATAAAAATGATTCATTAATAATCTTAAGACTCTTGAGCTTATCATGGTTGCTTGTTGAGGGATTCAAGATATTGAACTTGATGAGTTTTTCCATAAACTCAAAGTACTAGAATTGATGACTTATAAGTGATACTGACATGAAATCAATTGAGATGATTGTGAATGTCATGAAATGAATGAATGCAATCTAGACTTGACATTATAAATATTCTATGTTAAAATTTTGTTACACACTAATTGTTTGATAAATACAAAACCCAATAAAGTTTTGTGTTTTGTGGCTTTGTTGTCTAAACAAGTTATGAATGGAAGAGTTTGTTTATGTCTTGTTCAAGTCGCCTGGAAACACAAGGTTTATTACGTTATGCTCGACCGATGCACTTGTCGTTTCATGCTAAATAATTCTATCACGGTTTTGTTTCTTCAAAGGTTTCTTGACGGGTTAAGAGAAGAATGAGTATTTAAATTTCTCTAATATTGACTCCAAGAACTGTACTAATTAAAGGTACCAAAACAATCTCACACAAGAACCTAAGAAGATTGAGGGTTCATCTTTGAAAAATTTTTTTCATTCGACCCCCTCAACCAATAAGGGAAAAGAAAAATGGTTCCCTTTTGGTTTTGCCTCCCAAAATTATGCTAATGTTCCAACTTCAAGTTTGTTTGACATATTATCATTAAGTTAATTACCACATTCAGACTTGTTTTCTTAGAGCTTGAAATTATAATCACGATTTTGTCTTAAAACATAATCCTCAGAGGGTGATATATCCTGAGGATGTTAATGTCTTTTTAATCATACAATTGGGTGTTAAGTCAACAGCAATATGATTACTAATGAATATTTAATCTTACTTAATTGAAATTAATGTGAAATTAAGAGTGTCTACCTAATTCATCTATGAAAGGATAAACTTGTAATGATTATATATATGAATTTCTTGTAAAAAAAATTAAATTCTATTTTGGAGTTTATGACTATATGAACCTCAAATTTTGATGATCTTAGAGTAACTTTATTGGTTGTGATTAACTCCATGACTTATTTACTCACATTAATCATCTTCTTGAGTGTGAGCATCATTGTAATTTCCTAAATTGAATACATAGTGGAGGAAGGTGTATTTAAGTTGTCCCCCTTTGACTTCTATTCTAATTGATATGAAACTATTGGATATACGCACACAACCCTTAGTCAAAGTCCTAGAGGAATTGGGGTTCATTCTTAGTGTATTAAATTGTCCTACCTCGATTCTAAGTAACGTGAGACTATTAAATATACGCAAAACAGCCATCAACTGAGGTCTAAAGGAAACAGGAGTTCATTTTTGAACGACTTTCATTCCCCCGTCTAAAAGCTAGAAATGAGAGTTCATCTTTGAAATTACTTTTTCGTGCTCATAAGGAACGATGATTCATCTTTGAAACTATTGTTTCGTTCCTAAATATGACACCAATATTCTAAGATATAAAATTATTAACCAGATAAATTCTTTATAAGCACTTCTAAGAATAAAAAATAAATAAACGTTCCATGAATTAAAATTAATTTATAAAATTATTTCACACACATTTAATTTGTGGATGAATTATTTTAAGTTATAAAATAATTAATTCATTTTTTTCTTGTGGTTTTCTTTTATACTACCAAAGTTCGATTATGTATATTCTGTAAGAACTGAGAAATCTAGAGAAAGTGGGAAACCGGTGTTGCATCTGAGTGGACAGATCGGTTTTGATGGTAGTAATCAATTAACTTTTCAAAAATTTTTGTGTCATTCTCTGTCATGCACTTCTCTCTCCAAACTTCTGAATTTTTCCTTTCCCTCCTTCTCTCTACAAATCTCTCTTTGAAAGTCTCAACATTTTCCTTTCATCTGATTCATCATCAGGGTCGTGCCTGAGCTCCTTGGGCCAAGACTTCTCTTTTCACCGATCAAGTTGTTGTTTGTGAGTTGGAAGTTCAATTCTCCATTCGTCCTTTGAGGTTCCTTGCATTTTCTGTTACATGCAAGCACTGTTCAGCTTGCATGTGTTCATCACTACTCCTCTGATTTGTTTTCTGTCTTGATCCTCTGGTTGGTTCCTTTTCAACCGATCAGAAATTTGTAGGTTGCCTTAGAAGTTAGTCACTTGCGGGTTAGGCAAGACGGTGGAAATGTAGAATTTGTCTGGTTCATTCGAGGTAAGGGAAGCTAAATAATTTAACTTGTATGTTTATATTGTTTGTCAGGAATTGTATTTGATTGAAATGCATGTTGAATTTCTTTTTCGATTGAATGTGAGGACTGAACTCTATGACCATGACTTGGGAAGTTCTTATGCAGAAAAAGTTTTGGCCAGTGTCAATTGAGGAATTGAGAGGGT